GTTATGTAGGGTGATGCTTTCTTTCCATGTACTTCAACCAACCAATTTCACCGAGGCACATATATCCTTTCTCATCTTCCCCAGGGATATTAACTCTTCTTTTTTACTTCACCTGGCTGATACCATTTTTCTACGTTTCGTCTAGTCGCACATTGACTGTAATTCTCTGAATGCAGGCCCAGTTGTCTCTTGTGCCCATCAAAATTCAACCATGGATAATAGTCCTTCAGAAATCCACAAAACAAACCAACCAAACTCGTCAGAAATTAACTTTGAAAAATACAAGACAGTCGCTGGCATAATCCAGCTAAATTATGACATACTTACTTATTCATAGCATTGGATTTATAAATTCCTCTATTCCTCAGAACTGTAGCGTTTTGTTCACCAAGAATAAGAAATTGGGCGGAATGGAGAATTTTCCAAGTAATGGCGACCAACTTTATGTTCATTATATAACGATGGCCAGTTTTATATTGAGTTGTTACGAGTTTATCAAGAATTATCTCCCTTTGGTAGAATTGATGCAGTGTTAGATATTTTGTATGCTAAACTCTACGTAAACACATAATAACTCGTATCACACTCAAACAATCATGAGGGTCAAGTAAACAGTGATTTCATTATACGCAATCAACAGCTTAATTTTCACTATATTCCTCTAACGATTTTACGAGCTTGCAATTTTTTTTGGAAATGATCAGATTGGACGATTTATAGCCCGTGGAAGTAACAAACTCTTACATATTTCGTGCATTGCATATGCATTGCATTGTATATGCACTGCATACACACATAGACATGCATATTCCCTACGTAAATAATCATACGCTGCGCACATGCGATTATGATTTGGCCTTTTAACGGATTTAGTTGTGCCCATTGATTTTTCACTTGCGTGCTTTCGTTTCGTAAGGCTGCTAAAGTCAGTGAGCCAGTGGATTGATACAATACTTAGATATATAAATTTTACAACCCGGTTCACTTTATACAACAACAACGTCGCAGTCGAAAAGCGAGGCTCGTATGCTTACTTGTTTATAGTGCAAAAGAACGGGAAAAGTTGCTTGGAAACTTACTTTATTCTACATTATTTCCAAATAAATGAAATAATTTATGGATAAACATGCAAATAAAAGGGCAACTTGGCTTCAATTCAGGATTCGACGTAGCATTAAGTGACGGAGCATTATATTATGAGTTTAGCAATATACAGACGATCTTTTCTAAGCATGTCGACAGCTTATGGCTTTTAAGGCTGAAGAGTAAAGTGCCTCACTCAATTTTATTTTGTGTACCATTCCGGGACGGAGAAGTTCTCATGTTATTTAGAAATACCTTCCTTCACTTTCTCTCTTTTCCTTTTCCTCCATAAAGTTATTCTGAATATATATGCGCCAAAGTTTTCACTTAGACCTCTCAGTCACCAACGACTTGGTCTTTAGATTTCTTACATTCCTTTCATGTCGTTGTTGCCACAGAATGCTCATTTTATGTTTGGAAACTCTATTTTTGAGAGTATCAACTTTGTGATAATGACACATGAGGACTGGCTCGTAGCGAAAGGTGAAAGCATAGGAGAAGGAATTGCACCACATCGACAATAACTGGTCTGCTGGCTCACGAGTCAGTCGGTTGTTTGTGCGAGAGGTCGATCATGCAGAGAGCAGCAGTTTTCTTATAAATGTACAAATACATACATAGCCTAGTACAGAAGTAAGCAGGAGCAGGAACCAATATATTGAGAAGAAATTGATTTGGGCTCCCAACCAGAAAGGTGTATCAATGAGATTTTCATTTTCCCAGCCCATTCTGCACCGAGTAACTTTTCACACATGAAAAAATATATACAACTCTCGTTTCATACTCGAGAACGTGGCTCCCTACTTTGGCAAACATTCCTTATTTGTTGTAAATAAGTTACTACTGGAGCGGATAAGCACGCGTAAAGAAGTGAATGTTGGAATTGAAATATGAGAGTATATTTCAACCTTTTTAATAATGGAAACTGTAATTTTACGAGGGTTGTTTTCTAATCAAATTGTAGGAAATTTTTATATCTCGGTTCCCAGTCGTTTGTCGAAAGTTTAGCAATTTAAATTAAAATTTAACCGAAACTGGGGCTAAGAGGCACTCACGTTTAATACAGAAATAATAGTTACCGTCCGCCTTAACAGTGTCATTTATTACCCCTGTTTTCCGTGGTGGTAAAGGTTGAGAGGTGGAATTCAGAGTCTTGATAAATTGTTATTACGGACCCCTTTTAACCTGGCAAGCAAGCGATAAAACCAACCACAATTTGTTTGCTTAACAGGTCGAGTGCTTCTGCTCGGCAAATACATAAGCATTGAACGTTACGTTAAAAACTGAGTAGTTCCTTCCCATCCCGTTTAATACATGCATTTATACGTACACATAGACGTACATATGCCAAACTAGCTTCGTACATAACACACGTATAGTCAAGCAATCAACCTTCAAATAAATTAAGTAAAAGGTTGAGAGCCATGTGAAAGAGGTTGGTTACGCTTTACAATGTGCATAGGGATGGATTTTACAGTTAATTTAAATGCCTGAGACCCATGTATGAGGTGGAGTCGATGCGATACGAAAATATATTTATCCGCACAAGTTGTTGGATTATAATTACATTTATCCACCACTCAATTTGTGACATAACAACATGAACCCCATCCACCACTCACCAAGAAACTGCATAACTGCATCGAGTGAAAGTTGAAATTAATTTAAAATGTTTCAGGCTTCACAAGAAAGATTGCCACGCTAAGCAGGTACAAGAAAAGTCCATATGATGAAGTCTGGTTCACGTAAAGAATACATTTTTCACGTCAAAGCAATTCCTTCCTGGATATTTTCCCTTCTTTTTCCCAGTGATCCAACGTACTTTGACCTGCTCAACTTTGTCACTGTCGCTTTTTGTTTATCACCTCGTGAATGGAAAACCCAGCATTACGCCAAGGAGAAGAGATACCGGGACGTAGAAGAAGACCTCCTGTTCTTCTCCACCTAACGCGTGCTGCCCTGTGCTGAGGGATGACATGGCGGCGTCTTCTTTCCCCAGACTTTCTCCTCAACACCACGCGGAGTAGCATTCTCGTCCTCATCCATAAATAATTTTCCCCAGGCCTCCTCGCCCTTCACATTTGGTTGGACACCAACCCACTTCAAGTGGAGATGGGAAATTCCTTGATTTCATTCTCAATAGAATGGTAGACACATGTCCGCATCATCCGGGCAGCCAGGAGGGGTCCTCCTCTCCTTGCACCGCGTAAATGCATTCCGAGATGAATCGGGTTCTGTTCTTGGTCAAACTGTTTATTGAATACATTTCGAATCGGATGTTATCACCCCCGCATCCTTCTCCTCGTCTTGAAGAAATATTGCTATTTATATGTGTACAATGATAAGACGGCGTCCATGCATACTGTATGAAGACTGGGAGTCCAGACTTCATCTGTCACATTATGTCATTCTGGACGTGCCTAGTTTTACAAATAACTATAGAACTAGCTAGCTCCTCTACCCACGTGCTCATTCATGACTGATGATTTGTAAACAGGACCTCCGCATTTGGTGTATCTATTTACTCTGGGGCGAAACTGAATGAAACCAACCGCGATGAGTGCAACATCAATGAAAATATTTGTGAGTGGGACACCGCATTGTCTACAAAGGCACACTGCTATGCATATGCTATGTAGGTAGGTGGGCAAAACAGGCAGAAATCGTGTCAACAATCATACAAAGGGAGACTATAGAGATACTTCACAAAGATGTTTGGTCTCTTCCTCACAGATTAGATCATGATGATGTTATTATGAGCGTGATATGAACTGAGCCCATCAAATATTTGGTTGGGGGAAAACTGGTCGGGCTGCTGCTGCCGTCAGCCCACCACAATGTCTGACTGCTCAGTCAGTCTGACTGAGGTATTTTAAATTGGAATGAGAGTAAATGTTGTGTTATTTGTGGGAGCATGGGTCTCATGAGACAGACATATGTCTCAAGAAGAATCAAAATTTGTCAATAATTCTGAAAAGCTTCACATAAATTACAAACAAACCTTAAATTTAATCTAATAACCACACTGTATCCAAAAGATTTTATAATATGAATGTTAATGATTTAAAAAAATAATGAATTTCCATAACTTATAGAACAAAACTACTTCTTCCAACTGTTGGAACCCCCATCTTTTGGAAAAAAATGTTCTTCAATGTTCTCCTCAATCAGGGTGTAGGGGATCTTTTGGAGATCTGAAATAGTAGCGTTCTTCTGGGGGTGGACTGCCTTTCCTTCCTCATACGCCTCAAAAATCCAGATCCTGTCCATTGCTAACTGATTAGCCTTCCTTGTCAAATCACCTATTTCATCCACAAGCGCAACCGTTCCACTGACCAAGAATCTTGAGGGGCTGTCGGGGTACAGTCGGTTCCACTCACGACAGTATATCTAACAGCAAATAAAAGTTAACATAAATAATGCAAACTACTCAACTGTTGAGATAATAATTCAACAACTCATACCATTACAAATGCTTCACCCTGCTCTCGTGAGCACTTCGCCAAGCATACAATCGCCTTAATGTCGTAGCAGTGGAGCCCCTTCTTGGCATGAGCTGCCTTCCATACAATACTTGAAGGATCATAGAAATGATCTTTTCTTGAAGTTTCATCTTCAACAACACTAACGTACTGACCCGGATAAACTGATTTAGGAGTAGTGGGATCTGCGAAGTAAGCAGATCTCTCCAACGTTTGGACTGGTGGGGAAATACCAATGAAATAGAAGATGTGTTTAGAGGTGAAGGTAGATCTGTACTGGTGACAACGTTCCGCATTATTTGCTTGTCCAACTTCACTTGTTCTGTACTCTATTGCACTATCCCGGGTTTTATCCCTTAACTTGTTCTTCCAATCGGAAGGGAGGGTCGTAGCAAAAAAAAATTTTCTTGGGTTTGGTCTGTCATTTCGCACCTGTTTATTGTAATATCCTTGTCCATTTTCAAAGTAGACATCGTCAGGATGACTTCTCCAGTTATCGTGTCTAGTCTGTCCTGCTCGCCCAACTCTCCATTGAGCATTTTCCAAAAGTTCGAGCATTTTCTCCAAATTATCTTCCTTCTTCCCTGTGACATTCTTCCTAGCAAATTCGACCAACTGGATCCGGTACTCTTCAATTTCTGGGTTGCGCGAATACTGCAAGAAATAGAATTTCCTGATTAGTAAACTATATATTATTTAATAATGCGAATTTTCTTGCATTTTTATTACCAGTGGTGGATTAGAAGCAGGTCCAGAGGATGAATAAGTAGATGCCACTGGCTCACTTATTTCCAACTCATCCACCTACATAATAATTTATTTTAGACGACTCACAACCAATAATTATTCAACAGTTGAAAGTACATAAATGCTATTTGACCTGTTCAATACTTTTCTCTTCCGGAGGAGTTTCACCGAACGAGAACAGGGCATGAGCGTCAACCTCTTCTTCGTCATCATCATAATCACTGTACGGTTGCAACGGCTTTGCTGCCCGTTTTGGCACCTTTTTTGTCTCCTCCTATACAATTTGATAGTAAATGAACAATTAAATACAACCCCAACTGTTGGGAACAAGATGCTATTAATTTAATATACAAATTTTACCTCTTGATTCTCCGTGCTTACTCGTGGTACGAGATAATTCGTGGACGGATCGAAGTAGCAGAGGCGGAAACGGTACGAAGAGGGACACGAGCTGATGTAGTTGGGGTGAGACGCTTTCTTCCTGAAGAGGAGGAGGTGGTTGCCCACACGGTCACACTTGGAGGGGGAGGCTCTTTCCTCAGCAACGGGGGAGGTGGAACACTTCCTTCTGAAGCCATATACGCTTCAACTGATGCGTAGTAAACGCCATCAACAGTGAGTCCGTCGTCTGTAAGAATAAATATTTTTAGGTCAACTTCAACAGTTGAAAAGGTGAATATGTGTTTACCAAAAGTATCGTCATCGTCCCCACCGTTTTCCTTGCTCGAGGAGGTCGACTGGGCTGGGGTCACAGATACAGTGGATTTCCGCTTAGCTAATAAGAACAATAATTATTATTGTAACAACTAATCGCTTCTTTTACTCAACAGTTGAGACAATTAAGCTGACCACCTACCTTCACAAGTCTCCTCATATTCATCAAGTGTGGCGTAGAATTCGCCATCAACCTCAAAACCACCATCTTTACAAAGTTTTAGTTAAAATTAACATGATGACAATAATGAGAAATTAATATTGCAACTTACTCAAATCTAGTTGCTCCCATCCGTCCCTCCTTTCTTTCGACTCTCGTTTCCTCGACATTTTCCAATAAACACTCTAAAATATATGAAGAAATGACATAAGAGAGATTCAACAGTTGAAATTATGATAAATAATTACCTGAATCGTTTTTGATAATGCACTTATCGATGATAAACTGGACAGAAAAATAATCACAGCTGAAAAAATCTCGTCTCACTGCCTGTGTGTTTACTTATTCGCACTAAATAACAAGTCTCAACTTGTATCGGCAGCAGACAAGTTTGAGACAGCCACCACCACCACCACTCAATCTGTCCGTCTCACAGTGTAAATTAAGACCAAGGCAGGTCCCAAAAGTCCCTGGGGATGTAACCCCATAAAAATATACATATTTATAATTCAGGGTGGCCAAGGAATGCACTCCTGAAAATTTTGATGACCACACCCCCTGTGGGGGAAGGCACTTCCCCAGGGGGTGTGGTTAGGAAATTTTTATATTTTTGGAATCAGAAACTCATACTGATTCTAAATTTAAAATTTTGAGGATTTAAAAAATTTCCTGGTCAAGATATAACCATTCATATACCCCAAAACGTGCGTTTCCGGGCAACTTTGTGGGGGGGATCTTTATCACCCGACCACCCAGTCGCAATCCACTTTGGAGCAGAGAGAGAGAGAATGCTTAACAAATTTGAAATTCATTCTCACGGTCAACCATACAATGTTCCAATGCAATAACCGTTTGTCAACATCAACATCAACATCACCTCGCGCAGCTCAACCTCTCAACTGAAATTCAATACAGGGAGGAGAGTAGCAGCGGCACAGGCCACCGACTGTCAACGGCGAGATTGCTTCAAGGGATGCAGTGCCACCATATCGCGTCGCAAATTGTACGGTTTATCCTGCCTGCATTGTCACGGATGACATATGGACGGAGTCAGTGGGACCAAGGCAAGGCCTGGGCTCAAATGTCAATGCTTTCTCTTTCCCAACACCACCTCATGTCATGCTCTTCACGCTCAAGTTGAGAGAAAGTTCAACTCGTACTGTCAGCCAGGTATGCTTCATAATAGAGGAGGACAAAGGACAATGTTCCGTTGTCAACAATCAGCAAGAATGCCGACACACTCCAACTGAAAATGACTGAGAATGACCCCAACCCTCGGGACAGCCATTCCATTTTTACGTTATTTTTAGATTTATTTCAGAACATTATAAAAATAAATGCAAATTATTTACGAGAATGCTGTAAAAGAGGAGTTTATCTAATAAATGTAATTATCTTTTTCTTTTTGTAGTATGGTGAGTAAGGAGACCTCCAGCTTGTGGAATTTTCACGAATAAAAACTCTTACATATTAGTTAGCAGGTCTGGGCGGCTGCATTAAGATTTTAACTGGCAGAATAGACTTTAATAGCTCCTTAGAAGAACATCAAAGGCATCACATCTCAGGAGATTTAATTGAAAGTGATGAGCTTCGCATGCTTTCAAAAACCGTCCGTCAAACCTTCACATTTGATATTGTAATGCAGTCAGGTTGGAAACCAAGCCGATTTAAATCTCTCTCTCAGATAATCTTGGCCATGTTTGATCTCATGCAGCAGGGAAAATCTCGTTACATGCAATGCATGACTCAGTGTTGTTGTGTGGTTCTTGTCTACTTTAATTTTTTTGACAAAATTTTAAAAGCTTTGCGTTTGACATGGCAGAAAGTACGTAATTATGTGATGGAGGTTGGAAGGTAAGTCAGCATTAAAGTTGTGGAGGAAGAGGCCCACAAATTACATGGAATTAAATAATTTGCTCATAAATCTATCCACTAAAACCTCTTCCAAGGAGTCCAGCTGTCAGTATTAGTTAGTATTGGTAACCTAACCTAATGCCGAATATTCTGATTGACCATATTACTTCAAGCCACTACATACTTTCTCTAATAATATATTTATGTATAATGAGGTTAAATTTTTTACTATGAAAATACTGAGCTATATTTTTGACATTTCATTCCATTACAATTTGCGTGGACAATTTGTGTGCGTGATTAAGGAACATTTAACGATTTCGAATTATCCAGGATGGGAAGGCAAAATTAAAGTATGTTTAATGTAGTAAATGAGCTTCGCAACCGTTTGGAACTCCACATTGGATGTTCATAATTGTATCGTCATTACCTTGGCTTATCACTTGCTAGTTAGTTACAGGCCGCCCTCAATGTATTGACAAGTAGGTAATGCAATGTTCTCACAAGTTGCGTCTAATGAAAGTACATATAAGCATTTAAAATGAGCAAGAGTTGCAACCACGGAAAACAATATTGAAAAATTTCTGTTTTTCTGAACTCCAGTCTCTGAAGACAAAAATGCTACACTGTGTTGTGATGTATTTAATGGTGCATTGCAGTCAAGCAGGATCTTCTTAACGTCCTTTTCTTCTCTAATTTAATTCACCGCGTGCTGCTGAACATTATAATTATTGAGTCAGTAGAGAATTCCACATTATGCCGCAGCCCTCAGGCGTGTCATTCATTACGTTGAAATAATTGCTTGATATATTATCAACTTAAAAACGCAGGAATCTAGATGCATTCCTTATCTTGATCAAGGCTAACAAGGAGAACAGGTAGGAAATATCTTTGGATATTAAGGTTAATACATTCGTTTGAATTTTTATCGCTCTTCTGTTGTAGCAAATCATGCTCTCGGCGATTTGAGCCCCTGTCAATCAATCTTTATAAAATTGAAATAATAAATGACGAAACAATTTTTATCTTAGAGACCATTCTTTTGATTAATCTAACCCTAAGAGTGAGTATGATGGCCAGCTTGTGAAATTAGAATTAATACATTGTTTCATAATCAATATGTACGTGGCCAAAATATTGTGTCATTTAAATTAGATAGCTGCATCAGCTAAAATCAGCTACTCGCACGACCGTCATGTCAAACTACATAGATATGCATTAAGATTTAGGAGTAGGAAAAATTATGAGTGGACCAAATTTTGTTTTGTTTTTCACTTTGTACACGTTTTGTTTATATTATCAAACGTGGACCCAAAATGGAATCTCAGAATCCAATAAGTCAGGATCCTACATAACAATAAAGATTTGCTCAAATGTTTATCCAGACGTTACGCAATTTCTGCTATCATGGCCCTTTTGGAATTGAGCAAGATTTTGATATATGTCTGCACCACTACAGATGAAGGTCTGTGTTTAACCACTTCGCCCCTATAACGACTATGTGGCGTATTTGACCTTTACGCCGAGTACAACCATGTGGCGTAAGTTCCCTTGGCACCGGAATACGACGATGTGTCGTATTGACCCTTGACAACGGATACGACTATGTGGCGTATTTTCCGTTCACACCGGCCTACGACTATGTGTCGTATGCGGAAAAAATTAGGTCATTGCCTCTCCAAGCAAAGCAAAGCAGGAGTTATGAGTCAACAACCCGCCCTTTAGGCGGGAAGATAAATTGTCTCTTAGGAAATAACATTGGAAAGGGATGCAAAATAAATTTATAGCCAAGTGGCTATATCTAGCCAACACGCCGAGTTGTGAAAACTGTTTTTTGCAAGGAAATTTCGACACCGATTTATTTCAACAACGCTTTACGATAAGATTAGAGAAATTGTTTTGCTCGCATGTAGCACAAACGGGCGTTTTGAGCGAGAAAACTAAAAGTTTGATGAATTGCATCATCGCATGGATTTAATTATATATCACAAATAATCTTGCCGGTAGGGTAAACTACTTCAAAATTAATGACTACGTATCGGGTGCCGCTGAAATATCTTTCGGGCGGGAAAATTAAAAATTGAGAGATTGCCAGGAATTAGTAGAATTTAATTTTCCCGCTTAAAATTGATTTCTATTCACCAGATGCGCCATAGTCTATTTTCGAGCAATTTCCTCTCACGGGATAATTATTCATTGTCATTGCTGTGTATTTAAAGTCATTGTAAGGATTTTTGGTTTTCCCGCCCAAAATCGGCTCCTAAGGCGCTTTAGGCGCTATAATCAATATTTGCAAGTTTACGTACTAATATGCAAGTATTACTGCATGCTTGTCTAACTTTTCATGCAATTACAATCATTTTTAAAATTCGGCGTGTTGGCTATTTTCGGCTATAAACATTGGTGGCTCGCCACAACTCAAAAATGCAAATTACAACTCAAAATCCCTTCTTGAAAGGTTATTCACATCAATTTTCATAAAAAAGTGTCCAGAATAATTCCGGTGGGAACACCATTTTTTAATTCATGGCCCAGGAATTAACGTCATGCAGTAGATAAAAATTTCGGGGTCAAGGGAGGTAAAAATTCGCGGTTACTAGGGGTGAATGGTATGAAAAAACTCGTCTCCTAGGGTTGAAGTGGTTAACCCAATTTCTGACACAATCATCTCTATCCAAGATTGAAATCTAAATTCCGAGTGCGTCTCAGCAGTTGAAATAGATTCATGGTTGGATTTATTTTGAGTCTAAGTACACAGAATCAATTTCACTCGGACCCAAATCCAGGAATGGATTAGAAACGGAATCCTTTTGACAGAGCAGTTGCAGTAAATATAAAGTTATGGAATTGCATCTATTCACCTCAACCAGGAAAGCTGGCTGAAGCCTGTTCACAACTCTTGCACTCACCAACACCAGCTATAACCGTTGTCTAAGAAGGACAAGTTGTAGAACTTTGAAGGGGTCGCTGGCATTCCATCAAGGCTAATAACTAACAAAGGCCTGGATAACCTTGCACCACTCTGTAGCAACAACAACATGGGGAAATATTTTGTAGAACAAGGTTTGCTTTCTCAAGCGGACACAACTTGCCAACCCCCTTTTCTCGTCCAACTACCAGAATGTAATCTTGTGGGGTTTACATCATTGATTTCACTCTCACCAACCAAGAACACGAGGACAGACAACGTTGTTGAAGAGTTGCTGCTGCTGCAATTCAGAATCAGGCCAAAAGCACCAGCCAGCAGACTGGCAGACAGACTCAAAATCAGCATGAAATTTTCCCCATCCTGTAGTCACCACTCACTTGGTCCTTGGTAGCTGCTGCTGTTCTGTGTGGTTGCTAAAATGATGCAGCCAGGACGCCCAACATATTTATATAGCTGTTGGCTGGTTGGTGGTGTAAAGCAATACATGGTCTCATATCATATGCCATATCGTTCAGTTTTATTTTCATCTTCTGACAGTTCACTTCAACTCTGCATTTCATCTCATCTCATCATTTGCAATTTCCACAAGATTGCTCACATCCACATTCACAAAGGAGATCCTCCAGCTTCAGCCTCTGGATTAAAATTCAAGATGCTCCAGAGATTCCAGCCCAGCTTCACTCACTCTGCAGATGTCTAGCCGTCCATCATCTTGTTTAGTTTATTCAATAGATGCTGCTGTTTTGGAGAATCTTTTCCTCTCTGCCATGTCTCTCTTGGATCTTATGGTAAGTGGCAGGATGGATGGAATACCAGCAGCAGGATAGCGTGTACTTTTGATTTTTCATCCTCCGCCACTATCATCGCCTTTCCTCCCTTGTTGATTTCCAGTTAAGGCCCATAACCTAATTTTTGAGCTTTCACTCGAATCTTCTTAACTCAACTTGGCTGATCGGATTTCCATACGACTACCACCCTCATTCCACTCCCAGGGTTATTGTGGAATGACTTTTGACATGTGTTGAACCAGTCGTCGTGTTCAGCTTAACATCCATTAACGAGAAAAGACAAGTACTACTAGCTCCACTGCGCTCCACATTTGAGACTGACGGGCGCCCGTCACTTTTGGGCAGTTTAATGTAATTAAGTCTTCGGTATGGCTGATCCCATTACTTCCACTCGAGTAAGCAGACCCGAATATATACAACCATGTATCGGAGTTTAAAAGGAAAATTTTTATAAACTTTCTCTTTTCATAGTAATCCTGATAATTCATCAATTTCATAGGTTTAAACAGGAATATAACACGAGATGAGAAAGGTGAACATGAACTCTCCATGTGTGTATCCATCAATGGCATTCTCCTGTGTTGTGCAAATATATTACGCATTTCTCTCGTTGCACATACGTGGATGGTTTCACATTAAATGCCACTATATGGTCGTTTGGTGGGTAATGTAGTGACTGGCATAAGACAAATGTCATTTTGAGTTTGGAAACAAATGGCACGGAACTTTGGGAGAGGAAACAGATTTGCTTTATTTCAATATGTGGGGAGAATTTCTAAATCACACGTATTTTGTGGTGGGGAAAATAAATCCAATCTGTGTCCTCTCCTGATATTGTGAGGACTGAGGAATAGCCGAGTAAAGTGAGGAGGCTAAAAATATGATTATTGCTGACTACAAGTGCTTGTGCTATATACATATCATTTACACACGCCTTCTTGGAAAGGAATTTCATCCTTTGTTTAATTTTAACAGGGGCTGTGCATGCAAAAAACAAATTCTTGGCTCATTTGACATTTCAAATCTCCATTTTCTCTACACGGCACAAGAAACTCAAATTGTATTTGAATAAAGACCAAATAAATGCAAGATGCACGGTGGACGACGAAACAGAATTTTCCCATTTTTGAGTCCCCATCTTTTCGGGACTTTCTCCACAATTTCGTTTACAACTTGCTTCTACAAGGGTCGTTTGAGTTCATGTGTATGTGTAAGACATAGGAAATGAGAAAACTCAGCACTGCCTTGAACCTTATTTTGCTGGCTTAATTGTGCTGTTTGCTATTTCACTGTTGAGAGTTTGAGTGCCATAATAAAACCGTAAATTCTCTTTGAGAACAAGTTACCTGGAAAGAAATCAACATAAAACTGGGCCAAGCCGTGCCGCACCGTGTCATTGCATGCATTTACATTTAAATCACATTCACAAAAAACTGTTTTCACTCTTTCTCCCATTAAACTGGATGCGTAAACATTTTATGGCAACCAAGAATGGTGGCAACTCGGATGTGGAACTGTCAAAGAAAAAGGACGCTCTCGATACGTACCATATGCTTCGTGCTGCCTGCCTGCTACACAGAAAAAAATGGCTCAAGGTTGGGAAAATAACGGACGACAGTGAAAAACAAACAATGAAAATACATGTGCAATGTGCCCACAAGAACAAAGCCTGTAAACAATAACTGTATGGTGGCAAGGAGGCCAAAAAAGCCCCACAAAATCTCCACTTTAAATTTTACGTTTGTAATCATGGGACGTGAATTCGTATCTCGCCCAACCGACCGACAGACCGACTGACTTTGACGCTAATGTGCCTGACTTCAATCTCGCCTGCAAAAGGAGACAAATGTTGCGAGTGGAAAGGCAACACGTTTTTGTTATTTATATATCTATCCGTAAAATGAGATTTGCAGGAAGTAGGAGCCAAGCCGTCCCGTCCCCGTCGTCGTCGTCGACTTCAAGTGCAACGCAGAAGTCCATTGCACTGAAAATGTTACTTCCACTTCATGACTATGTAAATTACAAACTCGATTTTCCAATTTTAGGCTCTGGCTGACTCAATCAAGGTAAATGTAGTTTTGAAGTTTATAGTTGCTTTCACGCTAAATGATCGAGCTGAGAAAGTGGGCTTGTCATTGCATACACGTATATCTATCTATTCATGTATAGGACAGTAAATTCGCTACAAAATACGCAGTTGTGTGACATCCGGCAAAAGCCCCCGTGCTGCAACATACCGGTCCTGGCAGGAAGAGTGCGAGAGTGAGTTTTTCTTTGGAAAGGCACTATCTCGTTTGGGTTGGATTCTGTGGGGAAAGCCAGCCGAATATGAATTCACGGCTATTGCGGCAGGATGGTATTATTACTGAAGAGACTGTCAACTAGTAGAACAAGTAAGAAAATACTCCTTTTCGTATGTCTCCTATTCCCAAGAGTCGTCAACTTCAACGCTGTGTGTGTATGTGTGTGTGTGTCTCTCTATATGTGTGTCGCTCCCAGCAAATATTCATGAATCTCGACAATTTGAAATCTCCAATTCTCTACAAGCATGAAGTTGACTCATGGATGGTGTTGGTTGGTTAGTAGCAGTCAGGCAAAAATCAGGTTGAAATTCTGCCTCTGGCACAGGATAAGAGGAATGAATGCGAAAACACCGTCTCTTTTCCCAGCTCTGCTACGTTTACGTAGTAAATCTCCAAAAACCACCTACCACGACCAACGGAATCTCGTCTTCTGGAGGATGAACGGAGCTAAACTGAATCCCAGATTCCGGATTATTTGAGAGATTTATACCAATTTACATTTTTTGGTAGAATTGCAAATGAA